ATGCTTTGCAGGTTGGAATAGTGTTCTTTATTGTAACTTGCCTGCTATTCTATATCATTATAAATCATTTTCAAGGGAGCATTACTTTTAAAACAGTCTGGCGGGTAAATTATCCCAATTAGAGCTTGTATCATCTTCAGCTTCCACAGCACCTGTATACAGATTAGAAAAGTTGGATCAGCTGTTAGGAGTTTTACTGCTGTAGAAAGTAGAGCAGTTCTTGATTTCTATAAGTCAAAGTGCTTAAAATAAATACAAATGGAGAGCTTGTTCTTGGGTGTTATAAATCAGATTTTAATGTGGAACAACATACTGTTACATGAGATGAGAATATCTGAGCATATTAATTAATATTCTTATTTTTAGATTAGTTTATTACTGGACAACACAATTCAAGCTTTTTCATAAGACAGCCAGTCCATGAATTCTCTTAGGTGGTTATTTTCAATATGTTTATAGAGTATAGCTCCGACAGTTAACTGTTGTCCCTTAATGGACTATGAATTATGAATTTTTTAAGTCCCAAAATTACCTAGGTCAATCTCAGTAAATTTTTTTTCTTTACTGTTAAAGGTCCGAGTAGAAGGATATAATTACATTGGTATGGGCAACTCTACCAATAAAAAAGATGCGCAGAGTAATGCTGCCAGAGACTTTGTTAACTATTTGGTTCGAATAAATGAAGTAAAGAGTGAAGAAGTACCAGCTAGTGGGGTAAGTACTTACGGCCAACCACTTGAGGTGTATGTTAGAAGGTTATGCTAACCCAATATGGATGGAGACTCGGGGTGATAATTTTTCAATGTTGTTTTCAAATATATTAATGTGTTCCTTAGTGAACCTTGGCATTGTATTTCCTCAGCACTGGGATGAGTTCCTGAAGATTTTATTTTCTTTTTATTATGTACCTAACTTGTGTGCTTGGGAAATTCCTTTAATCTGTATTTCTTACCGTTTTCTGTATTTAATTCATTTATAAACTGATTTTTCAGAGCCTGCTGTGTTCTGTGTACTTCCATAGATAACATTTTAAACAGAATATAAAAATCAGTAACATTTTAAGATGCAATGTTTGCTCCCATTGACACTCCCTTATAAAGTAGGGAAAATAGTATTTCGTGCAATGAGATACTCCTGTTTTGATTCCATGATTATTTTTATTACAAAAATGTAACTCTGCAACAAAGGCCTCTCTCTAGCACTGTTTTTAAGAAAGAAACTTTATTTCTCATTTAATTAAAAAATGAAATTTTTAATTTTCACAAAAATAGAGGGTTGGTTGACATACAAAAATTCACAGTATGATTTAAGTAAATCCCTTAGGTGATGTAACTGAAAGATT